ATGGGTTCCTCCCAGCTCAGGATTTTCCTGGATTCTGTAATCCAAGCTGTGCCGGGTTTGGCACATCCCCGGAGCGAGGGGAGACACAGGGGATGGTGAATACAGCTCTGGGGCTGCRGCCACCTCCTCCTGCTGCYGAGCACTCCGGAGCCCCCCGACACCCCCGGAACGAGTCCCCAGTGTGGGCACAGAGATGGGCACGGGTTCCTTGATCTGTGGCCCATCAGCACGGCACCCTCAGTACGGATGTGGAGCACCAAGAGCCATTACTCCAGCACAACCTGCAGCCCCTGGCATGGACCCAGTATAGTCCAGTATTCCCAGCATGGACCACCATGGACCACTGTTCCAGCACATTCCAGTATTCCAGGCATGGTCTGCTGCTCCAGCTCATCCCAGTATTCCCAGTATGGACCACCATGGACGGCTGCCCCAGCATGGATCATCCCCAGCATGGATCATCCCCAGCATGGACCAGCATGGACCACCAGCCCCAGCACAGCCCATCCACTCATCATGGACCACCTCAAACCAGCACCCCTGTGGGGGAACAGGGCCCCACAGACCCTGATTCTGAAACTCAGGCAATTATTGTGTATGACTGAGGTCTGGGAAAAGAAAGGGATGTTCACTGCCCACATGGAGGAGGAAYGCTGCATCCTTGAGAAAAGCAGATTGGAATGCAGAATTGATAACGCAGGTGGCTGAAAATTATAAGCATTACTAATACTGTAGCTTTTGCAAGCTCACCAATWATGTTCTGATTACTAATTAAACAGCTGTCTCTTGACCAATGTATGTTTGACACAAATGTGTACTCTGGTTGCTAAAGTGGATAAAAGAGGCTTGTCCCACAATAAACTTCTTCTTTCTTTCTGYTTTTTTCACCCACTTTTGTGTGTTTTGTATCTATTCTTTTCTGTCGCTGTTTGGCCAGYAGCAACACACCCCAAGCCCCAGCACAGCCTGAGCCCTCTGCAGAGCAGCAGGACACAGGACAGGTTTGGGCAGTGGCGCCGAGGTCACTCACCTGAGGCCACGCCAAGAACTGGTTCCACACCCCCGTGAGGGCCCAGCCCCCCCTTTGCCCCGGGTAATCACCACACCGGCATTTAGCAGTGGGGAAACTGAGGCACGTGATGGCAGCGCTTTGGCCAAGCCAGCTGCTGTGGGTGCTCAGAGCAGGGAGACTCCACCTGCAGGAGAAATCCCCTGGAGTGGACGTAGAGAGCCCTCCTGGAAAGATGGGGGGATCCAGGAGAGCCTCATCACTTGTGCAAGGAGAGCTGGGGAGCTCCAGGACAGTGCTGGGAACAGCTGGGTGAGAGGAAGGTGCTCAAAGAGTCAGCCTTGGCCACAGGGAAGGACAAGAGAAAGATTGCAAAACTTCTGTTTTGTGATAGTCTTAAGTGAAAAAAAAACAACTTTATTTTCCAAATTCGGCACATGCTGCTCACTCCTCACTGCCTGTGTTGTCCCAGCAGAGTCCAGGAGCAGAGGATGCTGGAGGAGGAACCCACTCCTGAACAGGACCAGCAGCTGCTGGCCCCGGGAAACCTGAATAATCCATAAAAAGCTTCTAAAAAGCAGGAAACTCCAGGAGATGAGCTGCCTTCCCTCCGGCAGAATCCTGGCCCTGGCACAAGGTGCTTTACCAGCACTGGGGGAGGGCTGTGCTGAGATCCCCACCCACACCCCTGCAGCCACTTCCTTCTCCCTTCTCCATCCTGACAGAAYAAACTCATCTTTCCCCCACAAAAACAGCGTGGGTTTGTTTTTATGGTATGGATAAATCTGTTTTATGGAATTTCAGCTGTAACAGAGAGGCCTCAAGAGAGACACACATAAACAAAAGCAAAGACACACAGGGCTGTTTCTCTGCTTTATAATTCTCATCCCGTGCTTCCTCAAGTCACAAACGGGCAAAATAAAATGAAATTAAATTAAAATAAAATAAAATATTTGTTCTGCCCAGATCTCAAGGACCCCACATGAAAAACCTTCCCACAATCGATCCAGGCTGGTTTTGGCTGTGCTTTTTCCTCCCCACCTGAGTTCAGTTAACTGGGATGCCCACTCAGCTCCCAGTCAACAGCACTGGGTGCAGTCCTGAGGGTCCCTCTGCACACCGAGGCAACTCTGAGAGCCACAACCCCAAAGTTCCCCTGTCCTGCTGAGCCCACTCCCCAGCTCAGCACCCCACAGGAATTCTGCTTAGGACCTAAACCCACCACCCCCCAACCCTGACTGACCAAGGGACCCCCAAAACTGACTCAAACCCCACAGAAACAAGGAGGCCCCAACCCCCTGACCCAGAGCCAAACGCCCTGATTGAAGCTGAGGGGAACAAGCTGGGGCAGGGCTGGGCACAGAGCAGGGCTGGCACTGCCCTCGGTCCCTGCAGGGAACAAGGGACAGCACAGGGGACACGGGTTTGGTTTGGCCCTCTCCTCCCCAGGAGAGCCGGGCAGGGGATGTCACTGCATGGGGGTCAGAGCCACCCCTKCCACAGCCCTTATTGCTGCTGGGGGACATGGGGACCTGACCCCAGTGACAGGRAGACACTGCAGTGTGCTGGGTGACACACGGTGACAGGGAGACATCCACACTGTTCTGGATGTCATAGGGACCTGTCCCCTGGGATGGAGAGACCCCACTCTGTGCTGAGTGACACAGGGTGACAGAGAGACCCCACTGGGTGACACAGGGTGACAGGGAGACCCCACACTGTGCTGGGTGACACAGGGACCTGACACAGGGACCTGCCTCAGTGCCAGGGTGACCCCATGCCATGCTGGGTGTCCCCCACACATCCGGGGCCACATGAGGATGTGACCCAGGAACGTGGCTCCRGGTGTGCCATGGGGGATGCTCCCGGTTCACTCCCCAGAGCAGAGGACAGACCCAKCCCTGGGGCTCAGGGGTTCTCCCTGGAATCTCATCCCCACCCTTCATCCACCAGCTGATCCCTGCCCTGCTGGGTGAATGGGGAGGGAAAAGAGCAAAAAAACTGGAAACCAGCTGGAGATGCTGGTGTGACCAGAGCCTCCCCCCACAGACCCCCACTCCCTGCCCCTTATTCTGCGTCACCCCATCCGAGCACCCCAGGGTGAGGTGTTGCTCCCCATGGAGCAGATTTTTCTCTGCACCCACATGGGAACTTTTGAGAACTTTTCCATTGTCCTGGCACAGCCTCGGCATGAGGTGCTGGCTGGGATTTGTGAAGCTGGAGGAGGAATCAGGGAGGTGGGAGAGCAGGGCCTTCCCTGGAGCTGCCAGAACATCCTCGTGTGGGGTCATCTCTCCGCTGGGTTGGGCTGCTCAGGGGGGTGACATCACTCCCAGTACTCCCAGTACTCCCAGTACTCCCAGTACTCCCAGTACCCCATCCTGGTACCACCCTAAGTGTAATCCCCCATGGTCCATGTCCCCCGTGGGAGATCCTCACCAGTCAGGGGTTCACAACACCCCACAATCCCACCCACATCCTGGGACAATGGCCTGGCTGCTGCATCCCACCCTTCCCAGCCCCAGCCCACGGGGTACCAGCCAGCCTGGGGGATGCTCCAGCCCCCCCTGGGGGATTCCAGCCCCCTGTGGTGCTCCTGGCACATGAAGGGGATGCTTTGCCTTCCCAAGGGTGCTCCAGGTCCCCACAGGGTGCTCCTGGCACACGGAGGGGATGCACCCAAGGCSTGCTACAGGGTGTTCCAGTCCCGCAATGGCATTTTTCATCCCCCCAGTTTGATCCTAAGAGGATGCTCTGGCCCCTACAAGGAGATGTTTTTCCCCACCAAGGGATGCTCTGGGCCCCAAGGGGAAGCTGCAGCCCCTGAGGGTGGTCCCAGCCCCGGTGTGAGGTCCCACGTGTGCTGTCCAGGCGCTGTCACCGCGGGGCTGTGGCAGCCCGTGGGCCTCCCTTGGCCGTCCCAGCCTCCAGGCATCGCTCAGGCATAGGATGACAAAGGGAAGCTCACAGGGGGCAGCGGGCCCGGCCCCGCACTGCTCYGAGAGCTCCTGCGGACAGAGGAGAGATGTGAGGGGAGAGCAGGGAGCCGGGAGAGCCAAGGGTGCCTGGGGAGCTGAGAGATCCGAGGGAGCTGAGGGACCCCGGGGAGCTGAGAGAGCCCAGGGAGCAGGGGAATCCAAGGGAGCTGGGGGGTCCTGGGGAGCTGGGGGATCCTGGGGAGCTGGGGTATCCTAGGGAGCTGGGGGGTCCTGGGGAGCTGAGAGATCCAAGGGACCTGAGGGATCCTGAGGAGTTGGGAAATCCCAAGGAGTTGAGGGATCCTGAGGAGCTGGGGGATCCTGGTGAGCTGGGGGGTCCTGGAGAGCTGAGGGAGCATGGGGAGTTGGGAAATCCCAGGGAGTTGAGGGATCATGGGGAGCTGGGGTATCCGA